TCCTTAGGATATGACACAGCAGCGTCCTTAGGATATGACAGGAAACCGCTTGACCAGAGCGCCACTTGCACAGTGCAACATCTAACTCCAACCTATCCGTATTTCACCCGCGACATAACTAACGTATATGCGCGCCACCGAAAACCCACTCACCTACCGCCTTTCCCTGTGTTCCGAACACATTGAGACTCTCATTTCTTGGATCTGCCATTGGCTTACCTTCTTGACTTAGACTAGTCCCGCCTACTGCTAAGCGTGGTTGGTGAACCGCTAAAACAATAAGCTCAGAGCTTCAGAGTGTACACGATAGTCGATTCTTATTATATTGCGCATCGGTAATAAGCGAAACATTTTAAGAAGAGAGAGAGAGAGAGAGAGAGAGAGAGAGAGAGAGAGAGAGAGAGAGATAGAGAGAGAGAGAGAAGAAACCATACAACAAAACTTAAAGAAAAACACCGAAAAGGATATTCCCTAAGACAGACATAGTTTGAAAGGAGTTGGCCTCCGCTAACTTTTATCTGTTCTCAAATAAAGAAAAAAAGGGGAAAAGGAAGGCGATTCTCCGCCAACAAAGACTTTGCTTACATTTCAGGTCGAGAGAGAAGAATACGATTTTCGTCGGTCGAGCTTTTCCTAGACATTTCTGTTGTGAGTTTTGATATTTTTCCAACTAAGAGGTGGATCTAGAGTTTTTTTAAGCGCCCTCCGAGCAGCTGATCGATTTTTTAAAAAAACGTTATAAGTATATATGTACATATATATTATGTATTATTACATTTTACTCACAAACTTTGAACTCCCCTCGTGCCTGGGCAATGAAAGCCTTTACGAGACGCTGCGTGACAAACACAATATTGCATTCCTTTACCGTTATTTGTGCTTTTATGCTGATCTAGCTGCTCGCTTACTTGTTTACTTCTCGTGTGACACGTCAAAACTTTTTATATTCAAGCACCTGACACGACCGGCACGCACGCACGTTTCACTCGTATCCGACGTACATATGAACATAGACACGTACATATTATATGCAAGTCTCACCTGTCAAATGTCTAATGTCAGCCGGTTGCAGGGAGATTTGGCTTGTTTTTATGGAGTTTTACATACACACAGATAAGGGCAAGCATGTACACTTGCGTAAAATATAATAGCAATGTGGCTTCGAACAGATTTCCATGCGGAAGAAACCAATTTTTGCTACTTCGCTTACTTAGAAGATTGAGATCTGATATTCTACACTGAAAAATGGAAAAAGTTCAAGTATTAATTCCTGGTAAACTAATTTTCGAGCTGTTTCTTCGCTTATCGCTTGGCAGATGCTTCCGATTAGGGCACCAGTGAAAGTGCGGTGTTCGCATACCTGGACGAAATTTATTCAGTGGAGCTACTACAACGCTCCGCGCACAATTTCCACCCTTCCTCTTGATGCTTTTATTTTCATCGGCACTGTAATGCAAAAGCATCATGTGTATTGGCCAATACTTTTGTAAGTCCAAGTGTTTACTGTTTTGCCAACGACAAAGGTAGGCCTAGGGCCTTTGCTTTGTTGGTTAATGAAAGTTTGCCCTTTTGTCGTCGGCCTGCCAAATTGAAAGCGTCTGTCAGCGACATGTTCTCTGTGGAGCATTTGCTGCCATCCTGTCATCACCAACCATACTGGCGGCGCTTTGACTTTGCCTGCGTTGTTGTTACGAAACTTTGCGATGGAAAATGAAGAAAACGCTTATGAAAATACTTAGCTCAAGTGTGCAATTTATTAAGTCCTGCTCAAAAAATACCGCTATTTTCGTGGAATGTTCTGCGAGCTTTAGCAATTAGTCGCCTCCTTTTGCTTGGTTAATTGAAAATTTTATTGTTCTTACGCTCAGTTGGCACTCTTTCACTTTGCTACGGTAAACTGTGTGCTCTTTTTGTTGTTGTTGGAGCATTTTATTCCGACGCCAAATAGCCACAACCATAATTATCCCGTATGCCCAAGTAGATTGAGTGACAGGTCCCTTGGGACTTAAGCGTCACGAAGGAGTCTTTTGTTTCTATTTTACAGCAACATTTATTATTGCCACGTTTAGCGCAGTGAGCGGCACCTCAGCTGCTACTGCGACCGGCAAGTTGACATTTGAAGAAGTATCCACCTCACAACGCTTCACATCTGCAGGAGTTCTTTCCCTCTTTTCCACTTTCTCATTCTTTTAAGTGTACGCCGTGGGGCACTTACCTCAACGCCAATCCGTTTTTCTCTCTTTCTCAAGGGTTCTTCGTATTATGAGCAGACATACAATCATCTGTATTTATCTAAATGTATTCAAACTTTTTGTTGTTTCTCGCCTGTCCTCTGGACCATTTGATTAATGATTCTTACATGACTGTCTTGCGTTCTCCAGCTTGTAAAGGACTTTTTCTCCCTCTCTCCCTCTCTCTCTCTCTCTCTCTCGTTTACTTCCATTGCCTTGCCATTTTGTTTACACTAACCAGGCACTCGTACCTCCGACACTTCGGAGGTTGTTGCTTAGCAAGACATCACCTTCAAGTGTAGCCACTTGTCCATTTCTCCCATCCTCACATTTGATAGAGTTCCTATTTCTTTCATTTTATTACGGTAAAAGGCTCGTGTTGTTGCTGTTGGTTTGTGTCGTTGCATGTGCTCTGGATACTATTTGTTTAATGAGAGTGAACTTTAGTGTCGTTTCGCAAATTGTTGGGTACATCCGTCCGGATGGGTCTATAAATTAGTAGTTGAAGTAGTAACAGAAGCAGGAGAAGAAGAAAGTAAGAAAAATATCAGTTAATGGTGATCAAATTCATACAAATTTACTCGTGCACATGCATTAGGGCGGGTATCCATAAATTAAATTAAAATTAAAGGTTTTAAAGAGGTGGCAACCTTTAATATTATTAATAATTCTAAGACTTCGTTGAGCTCTTTGGTTTGAGGCTAATAATGTATTATTTCATTCAGTTAATTAACAAATCAGTTAAAAAATTTAATAGGTGGCAACGCTTCGCAAAAAGTTAGCATAAAAGCCCCTAAAATGTGTTTTAGTGAACGATCATATGTCATTCATTCAGTTAATTTATCTACATTGTGGAGATAATTTTTTAATTAGGTGGCAGCCTTAAACGGAAAGATAATAATTACTGCTACAAGTTCCTTAAAAAGCCGAAAAGTTTTTACTTCAACCGAGTGGTTAGCATTGCGTACTGCCGTTCGGAATGCCAAGGCTCGAGTCCTAGTCCGATCAACATCGAAATTTAAAGAACATCCAAATTTAAAGAAAATTAATTTAAGTTAAAAATTATGTTAAATTTTCTATTTGCGGTCGCCCCTCGGTAGTAAATGTCGACCCCTCCGAGTGTATTTACGATATGAAATAAAAACCTCTAACTGGCGCTTTGCAACCGCTAAAGCGATTTTCGGCCGATCTCTTCGTCCGATTTGTGGTTTTGGGTCTTGTTTTTTTTCTAACAAACGGAGGGACCTATAGTTCATAATAAGCCGCTTTCGGATGGCTGACAGTTTTTTTACGAGGGGCTTTTATTTCATGTTCGAAAGACACTCGGAGCGGTTGACATTTCTTGCCGGGGGGCGACCGCAATTAGAAAAATTAACTGAATTTTTTATTTACATCAATTTTCTATAACTTCTGGATGTTGGTCGCACCGACATTTGAACCCGGGCCCCCGAATGCCAGTAAAAGCTCCTCATAAAAAGGGAAGTCTACCATTTAACCTAAGCAAAAGCCTTCTACACACCAAATTTCAAATAAATCGAACCATAAATGCGATTTCTTCGAATAAGTGGGTCTGTAGTCCAGATTCCGGAAAAAATTGTAGTCTTCCTACTAATTTCAGTAAAAAGCCACCCTTGCACCGAATTTCAGATATATCGAAACTTAAGTAAAATTTCTTCGAATAAGCCCGTCCCAAGTCCACTTGCCGAATTTTTCGTACAAACCTTTCCATGAACCAGAGAAACAAATTTCAAGTCGAAACGAAATACTCAACTTCAACTAAAACTGAAACGAAATCTTCCACCTTAAATTTAGTGCACAATAATTGAACCTTTAGATTTGATTTAGAGAAGACATTAGAGTTTACTCTGAACTCACCCTAATAGACATTTTGGGCGCTTCATTGTACGCCTCCCTCACATGGTCGTGCTAAAATGTGAATGCCTGAGATTCCTTGTTCGCCCACTTGGCCGTGCTTAGTTGGTCGGCTGGCGATGATCCGAAGTGCTGGAGTATTGTTGAGTTTTGGGTTTTCAAGAATGTCAACACGTTTTAATTAAGCTCTGAGATTAATTAGCAGTGTAAACATCATATCGTACTCGTGCAGGGCATTCCACGCATTTCGGCATATATACATAGTATGTATGTTTGTATGTACATATGTACATGATGCGCAGGGTTTGCTTGTCGTCAAAATGTCACTTGATATTTGACGCTTTTTCTCAGCAAAAATGTCCCTTTCGGCTAAAGAGTTATTTTCACTTTGAGATTGTTTTTTTTTTTTTTTTGTGAGGCGCGGTGTTTCACAAGTTCACTTTCATGCGCTCAAGTGTGGTCTTGTATGTATGAATATATGTGTGTTCGTATCGTAACTAAGAGCTTGTGAATGCGGTGTTACTTTGAGAAGCTCAAGTGTAATTTTACATATACATATGCATGTAGGTATGAATGTATGTATGTATTGTGTTAACAACAAGATTCATTGCGAAATCGTCTATTATTTTGTAGTTTTAGCATTTAAGGTATAAAATAAAATTTTTATTAAAATAAAACAATTTTTTTTTTTGCTTACGTTTTAATATCACTGATATGAGAATGATACAAAATCTGTTCATGTTCATGTGTTTGTGCGTTCATCAATGAATACCAACACATGCACACTTTTCACTCTGTTGCTACAACTTATTTAAAAGAAAAATACACAAATATATACACATACATACATACATATATACAGCTATTTATTTACTTTATTTTTTTCTCTACTTTCAGGTGAGCCTGCAACTCAGTCAGCTGTTGGTGTAACACATTGTTTACTGATTGCATAATATTTTTTTTAGTAATTCGAATATAAAAAAGAGGAGAGTGAATAAAGTGAGTTTATTTATTTTTATTAGACATTCAGCGGAATGACCATAACGGTTATAATAACAAGAAACTGCATACAAACTGTGCATACATACACACATGCATATGCAGGCACTTATATGCTCGTACATATATGTATACGTCAATATTTCGAAATTATTACAATAACATATCTACAAGCTGGCATTTGTTGTTTGTATTCGTTTATTGGTTTAAATAAATAAGAAAATTTATTAATAACGAATGCATAACACCGTTAGTAGGTCAAATATATAATACATGTAAATACATACATATTCTATATATATTTGTAAAAAATCTTTCTTTTTTTCTTCATTATTGGCGTAGGCACGCGATTTTAGCATATCTTCGCTGTTTGGTGGCAAATGAAGACTCCAAGTGAAGTCTGGTTCCTATCCATCTGATCTTTCGAACGAAGTGAAGGCATTTCTCTTCCACTGCAACCACCGGCAGGTACTACATTGACGTATTCTAATGTCACTTCGATACGGTCGGATCAACTAGTTCGTGCTGAGCTTTATTTCTTCTCACACATTAAGGCGGCTTATCTCACGGATCTCTCTTTCTTTCATGCATCCGGATCACAACGCACATTTAGTCTCGATTCGTCTGATTCGCTTTCCTCATTTCCACATTCTGTAGAGAAGCTGTTATATACACCTCATCAGCTCTTCACCACCTCTATCGGTAAGCCATAAGCTTCTGCTGCTTTGTTGTCCTCTAAGCGGACAAACGCTATTCAAGTTTCGTTATAGACGTTTAACGGAACGTCTTTCCCATCATCAACGATGGTGGTCTCCTATTCATCGGCTTGTATATTATTACTACCATTCAGTAGGCTGGAGAAGTTTTCTCTTTATTAATTTAGTATGTCACACGTTTACCTCCACATAAAAGAATACGCACCGCTCTCAAAACCGTCTTTTAAGTCGCTGCATGCTCATTACATCGTTACCCCTATCGGCCAGCATCGCAAGCTCTTCGTTCTCAAGCATTTCAGCTTCTTTCTTTTTCTATCAGCATCTCGGCTTCTTCTGCGATTATCGTGTTATGTTTCAACGCAAGCCCGCATCTGGCTTCCACCCCGAACAATTCGATATTTCTTTTCGACTCACATTGACCAAGTCTATTTGCTTTTTAGAGGCGCATTCCTGCTCCCAGAAAGCTTGAATGTAATTTGAGTAGAAAACCGGCTACCTGTGTGCTGTGTTGGCGGCTTTTCGACGTTCAACCTTGTCGCCCAGAGATCGGCTTCACTGCCATAAGATAGTTATTTGAGTTGTTGCTAGAAACGTCTAGAACACTGGAGACATATCTTCCGTCTATCGCAACATGACCGTTTTGGCTGTGTGGTTTTCGATCGGGTGACAGCCATGTATGTCGCTGTATGTAGTGTGCTAAATTTTCTGACTATTTGACGGAGTCTCCCTCCAACCACTAGTGCAACACCAAACTTCCGCTCCCTTATGAGGCCGGTGTAGTAGACGTTCTAAGGACCTAATTTCTTCCGTCCTCGTTAGTCCATCGAGGATATCAACCAGCTCGGCAGCGGAACCGGACATACTGTCTAAAAATTTTCGCCACTTGCGTGGACTTCTATACATGAGCGCCCAAGAAGTCATTGAAGCGATATAAAATAAATATATCTCAAAAATAGTTAATAACCTTGTAAATAATTGAAGAAAAATTTATTTTTTAAGCGCTTCTTAATTTTTTTTTTTTTTCATTTTTATTTTATTCGAAAAATGCGAGAAATCAATTTTCAGTCGAAAATCGCCACAGCGGCTATAAATCGCTGTTTGCACACAATATTTGATGAGCTGCGCAATTTACTATATGAGACATACACATACATACATACATATTTAACAGGCATTAAATATAAAAAAATTATATGTATTTATGTATGTACATATTATATATACCGCGATTCACAGCCGAATAAATGTAGTTATTAACGCCAGGAAATGAACATTTGCACCGCTCGCAAATGGCTTATAAATTAATTACAGCAATAATAGCAACACTGTGCCGTCGGTTGATTTTATTTTTAATATTTTATTTTTCATTTTTACATTTTATTTTTTTATTATATATAAATACATATGTATGCATACAAATATACTTACGCTTTACATACTTTACATAGAGGTTCATGTCACGCGATAAAATGTGTTTATATGACGAAAAATTATACAGGCTTATCCATTTTGTGGTGTCAAAAGTAAACGTTTTTTTCCATGAAATTCCTTTTTTATTCTAAAACTTCTTCCACTGCTTGAGGAAGCCTTTTCTGTGGTTACCTGGGGGTTTTCCGTTAATGTAGCAGCCGCGATGAAAATTCGCTTGGTAGGAAAGGATAATTTTTCGTTAAAACAAAAATATACCTACACTATGTCTGCCTACCGATCTTCAGCCCATCGAACTAAGCGAAATCGTATCGGATGGTCATGAGACTTTAGTTCTTGATACATTGGACTTTATATGACTTCTCTCCAAGGCCCTTACGAAAAATACTGCGCAAAGATGTGCGCAATGTTGAATTCCTCCGAACAATGACGAGTTGTTGTTAATGGCTGTTCGAGCACACCGCGAGCTACAGCAGCCATATTTATAATATCCGAATCCGCCACTTGAATTGATCCACAAACTGGGTGGAAGGCGGGTAATAAGATATGTTATTGTCAGATTTGGGGTCTCTTAAAAATTAAGCATCAAACGCTTTTTTGAAAATAAAACCGATATTTGGTCTTAAGGGGAACACCTAGTGTGAAATTTCAAAAAAATCGATCTGTTTTCTTATTTCGGTAGATTACACTTTTAAAAATAACAAATTGAAAATTCAAATCGATATCTCATATAGTTTTTGAGTTATAGCAGTTTAAAGAGCAGCCGCTCGGCAGCTAGAGAGTCTCATTAGCTACGAGTGAAAACGATCGTTTTATCTTTAAACACGTTTTTCTCGCAACAGCATTTTCCGAATTTGCTGCAGTGATTACTCAAAAACAAATGATCCGATCACTCTCGAATCTTTTTACATGTTCTATATATAGTTTTCCGTACAATGACCTATAGATTTGTGATCTGATCAAAAAATCAAATTTTGGCAGGCCAAAAACGACCAAAATTTTGGGTAAAATTAGACTATTTTTTTTTAAACGTCGCCATAGTTTTTATTTATTTTATTTGATTTTTTTTTTATCGTATTTCATTGTACAGTCAATATAATCTAGTAGAGAATTTTTTTTTAGATTTCAGCCACGGAGAAGGCTAGAATCACTGCAGCAGTGAAGGACCTTTTTTTCGCGCCGTTAGAGATCGACTATAACTTAAAAAATATTACATTTTTCTTTTCAAAAATTTCACTGTATATTCTTAAAATTTTGAAATAATTGATAAAGTATTTTTTTAATAAAGATTCCCAAAAATCACTTTTTCTAGGACCATTACACTAGGTATGCCTCTTAATAAATAAATTCTTCAACTAAAATATCTTAGATGCTTTTACAGTTAATTATTCTGTAGAATTGTTTTTGGGTTTTACTGCGATGGAACTGTCTCAGAACATATAATAAAATAGAATTGAAAGAAATAACCAAATCAAATTGATAATGAATCGTCAAATCACCAGCGTAAGTACTCCATTATACTTAGACCTTCACCCATCTCTATAAGCTTTTCAAAGCTTTCATGAAAGCGTAACCATTTCGTAAGCCGCAAATCAAACGTGATGTCAAAACTCAAATACGCAGCTGTTTGAAAAGCAAACGCCACATGACACACCCGTTATCTATTAATTAAGAAATGTGCAAGCAAAAAAGTTTATAATAATAAATGCAAACAGAAACAAAGTTGGAAAAAATGAGCAACTCGCTGCTGATAAGATAACGATGAATAGCTGGCAGATAGGCAACTGTGCGAGTAAAATTTTTTGCCTTAGAGCCATTATTATTTTCAACAAAACAATTAAAATATATTTTCTTTGTGTTTTTGTGTTTTTTTTTTTTTTTAATTTTCTTTTTTATGGTTTGCGTCGCCGACGACTGGGCAAACGCTAGTTGCTGCGCCGCTTAGAATATTTGGCCACTCTCTACGCGGCGCGTTCCATTTTTTGATTTGAATGTTGCGTTTATTGCTATTGCTATATTTATTACTGTTATTGCAACACATTCGACGTTAATTGCGCGCGGTTGCGTTGTGTGTGGGCGGAAGGCGGCAACACAGCGACATACATACACGTGTGAGAATATGCAAGCGCTACGGCTGAGTATTGTACCACCTGCCATAATTTGCCAATGTCGCTTGACTGATAGCCAGACAAACCGACTTAGTGACTGACTGACTGACTAACTGACTGACTAACTGACTGGCTGACTAACTGACTGGCTGACTGACTAGGCGACTGTGTGATGCAGCGGACGCAGATTAGTCGATGATTTAGTGCACGTCAATGTCAAACCATAAATATTTTCTTGTTTTTGGGTTTGTTGTTGTTGTTGCTGTTATTACTATTATTGTCATTAATTAAAACACTGTTATGCGCAGCAACAAATTGACAGTGAATAGTTTGTTTCACGCTGCGTCGCTGGATGATTGCGAATAACAAGCTGATAAGCAGCGTAATAATGCCAAGTGCATGAGCGGCGCTGTACCGAGAATGTACCGTACAAAGCCTATCTGTAGTTGGTGTTGATAATTATGTGCTTTGGTGTATTTTTTTTTGTTTTTCTCTTCTTCTTCCTTGCGGCACAATTTTTCAATTTCAATTAAATTTGCACACGCGCGCACACACACACAGATACACTAGCGTGAATGTGCTGAAATTTGTCAGGTGCAGAATGGTACCGTTACTTTACTTTATTATGACGCACCTAAATACATACGACATCCTCGTATACACTCGTGGGTATATATATATACACACATAGTCGTGTTTGCTGACATTTAAGCGGCTTACTCTACTTGTTGTTGTTGTTGTTTTTGTA